TCTCTCTCTCTCTCTCTCTCTCTCTCTCTCTCTCTCTCTCTCTCTCTCCGTTTTCTTTTGGTATGGTTTTGCTCACCCCTTGTTCCTTTCATTCGTCGGTCTGTCTATTTGGTTCTCTCTCTCTCTCTCGGTGTGTCTTGGTGGTGGTCGTGGTCGTGGATCGAGATTTTTGGGTTCAATTTTCACAGTCATCATAGGGACAGGTTTTTTTTCTCGGCTATGATTTCGGATCGCAAGGCGGCAATCGTTCTGTAGCGGAAAGCAGAACTTGAATGCACCTGGACAAAAAATTGTCCACATGCATTCAAATGTGTTGCTCACTTGGCTCTCAATCGAATAAAAAAAGGGCAAGAGGAGGTACGTTCTATCATGCAGCCCCCCCATGACGCTCCCCTTTTGTCTTTTTGCCCCTTTTTTTTTTTTTKTTTCGGTCTGTCTTTTCGTTTGCATTGCCATCGAAAGACGTGTGCTAAATTAAAAAAAAAAAAAAAGACGTGTGCTAACTAGTAGTGATGCTTCTTGCATTTGCTCAAGTAGTAGTTGATACGGTATCAACCAACGCAATGCTATGGTATCAATCAACACATTTGAATGCATGTGGACAAACTTTTGTCCAGGTGCATTCAAATCTCGGCGGATGGCGAGTGGTTCAACTAGGCCCTCCTAAATAACTACTAGTCGAGCAAACGTGTTGGGTCGCTGGATTGATATCATCATCATAGTTATTATTATAACTTATACTTTATTATAACTTGCTGTAATAACCCATTATACAGTTGGTTAGCCGGATTCGTTCTGAGATGCGTTATAATTTGGCTGTATCTAGTCTGAAACTTGCGCCACATACCGCTGTAATGAACGGGCGTTGAAGAGATAATAATAACTTCCGGGTTTTCCGGTGACGTCTGGTCGATGGATTGGAAAAATCAGCTCTCTTTAAATTTGGTGATCATCTTTGTGGGTTTTTTTTTCGTCAATAGGCGGCGGCTAATTTTAGCAAAAGTAGCAGCAGTCGACTACCGTCTTCCCCCGAACACAACGGACCTCGAAAGTACCTGGACAGGATGTCGGGTCGATGGATTGGAAAAATCCTGTCTTTAAATTTGGTCATCATCTGTGTGGGTTATTTTTTTGGCAATAGCCGGCGGCTAAGCACCCGTCAAACTGGACAGGATGCCGGATATAGCCCAACCGGATTCAAGCAAGTACCTGTCAAACCTGGACATTGGTGATCATCTGTGTGTGTGTGTGTGTGTGTGTGTGTGTGTGTTTTAATTTGGACCATTTCTCGATTTATGCGTGTTATCCTTGGAAGCGCAGGGGCCATGCTAATCTTCTCTGTATCGTTCCAATTTTAACGGATGTCCCGAAGGACTGGGTTATTTTTTTGGCAATAGGTGGCGGCTAAGTACCCGTGAAACCTGGACAGGATGCCGGATATAGACCAACCAGATTCAAGCAAGTACCTGTCAAACCTGGACAGGAATGTAAAAAAAAAAAAAAAAAAAAAAAAAAGACCCTGGACAGGATGGCCTTGAGACTTTTTTAAGTTTCGTGGGCTGCACCTGACCTGCAGGTGGGCGATACGGGGCAGGGGTCAGCCGGTAGCATCAGGACAGAGCGTCTTCCATGGGCCAGTCACAGTGCCTCCCCTTCGGTCCCCTCCTCCTACGAACATCAGCCGTCACTGCTCAGTGCTGCTGAGGGTGACCAACGGGCTATCTCTAGGTGGCGCGCGCGAAGCTTGCCCACGAAGGCATATGAGGCCAATGGGGATTGAACCCGAAACCTCCTCAGTCTGAATGCCTATTGCAGGCCGTACCAACTGATCTAGGCCGTGGATATGGGTTTATTACTTCAATAGGTACTAAAATTTGGTAGAAAATCGGGACTAAAATACAGGAAATGCAGGAAGTAGTACTCCTCGAAGTTCCCCCGAAGCAAAGGGAAAACAGGCCTCGATCCACTACTGAACATTCGACATGCACTGCATGCACTGAACATTCGACATGCACTGAACATTCGACATGCATTTGGATGCATTTTTCGACTAGGTGCATTGGGAGGAGTCCAACATCTTGAATGTATCTGGACTATTAGGCGTAGAGGAGTGAGGCCCAGTGATGCATGCTTGAATGAAGATGAGCGATGGCCATGTCGAAGGAGCGCCAGTGTGATGAACAGGACTCGAAACAGAAAGATACAATGCAATGTAGCGCAGCGGAAGACTCAAAGATATGACCTGGCACATCAGATCCAGACTGGACTCACACAATCATCATCACACCATGTCACACAGCAAGGAGGGGAACCATACATACATGGAAGAAAGGCCCCTCCTGTACTGACCTTGTTTGTCGTGCTCTCGCTGTTTTTGTGTTTGTCGATTGCGTAGTGCTTTGTCAGGTGTACCCACCTTCTGGTTTCTGGTGTAAGCGCAGCGTAAAGACACAACCTCCCAGCAGCGCGCTTGGACTGCGAGCTTGTCCTTTTTTTTTTTCCCCCTGGTAAGAAAATGTTCAAGATGCCAGGAAAAAAATCGCGCTTGAGAAACACAAAAAAGCTGTGTGTCTGGAAGTGAGCTGGTGTACGAACGGTCTTAGCTCAGTTGGTACAACCACAAACTGTTGAAATACAGACCCAAGTTCGAATCCACGGTGCAATCAGAGGAACAGAAAAAAAAAAAAGAATCCTGAATAATGTGGGTCCGGGGGCCGGTCAGTTCAATCGGGGTAGAAAAAGAGAGGAGGCCAATGTGCTGTCTATGTTGTACTATGGATGTGCTATGTGGCAGGTGTTATAGATATGATCTCCTTATTGTGTGCTGCGTCTGATCTCCTCCTGTGTGCTACGTCTGACACCTGTGTGCTCTCTCTTATCACCTGCACTGTTTGCATGTGGTGTCGTGCACATTACATATGTCCGAAGGGAGGACTTGACATTGAAACACAGGATACCAAGAGCTGTACCGGATATTGTATATGGTGGAGTGCTGTCCTCTGGTCACGCCTATGTCTTCTGTGTATGTGGAGTGTTCTCAGTTTCACCATGTCGCCCAGAGGTAGCGATACCTCTGACAAAAGAGGGCGACTTTACTCACGCCAACCCTGCAACCCTAGTAGACTGTCAGTTCACGCTCCTGACAAGAACGGCAAGAAGTCTGCGAAACTCGTCCGTCGCAGACTCTGTGTGTGTGTGTGTGTGTGTGTGTGTGTGTGTGTGTGTGTGTGTGTGTGTGTTGTCATATTCGCTATACAGTGTATACACTCAAAAAAAGCATGACTGTGCCAGGCTGTTTCGTCGGACTTTCACCGACTCATCAGGAGGTTGAACCCCGACAGTCAGTCTGCCCAGCATGCATTTGACTGATGGATATTAAGGACTCACCACATTACCCAGAGTTAGCGATACCCATCCTTGAGAGAGAAAAGTGGTCGACTTTACTCACACCAACCTTGCAACCCTAGCAGACTGCTGGTCCAAACCCTCGACAAGAACGGTAGTAAGTCTGTGTGTGTGTGTGTGTGTGTGTGTGTGTGTGTGTGTGTGTGTGCGTGTGCTACCCATGTGAGTGGGTGGAAATAATACACGATCCGCTCTGGACTTATTGGCACTTAGCACACTGGTGAGTCGAATGTGAGGTACTGCTATTGGCAATACCTGGTTTGTTTCAACCACAGATGTCCATCAATATCATCATCATCATCATCATCATCATCATCATTTCTCATTAGTCTTTCATTCCACTGGTTGGAAGGGGGAATCAGACAAAGTTCGTTCATTCAACTGATACATTGACTTGTGATCTTTCACTCTTTGGTCAATAAAGGAGGGGGAAAATCTTGAAGGAGGGGGAGAGAGGAGGAGGAGGAGGAGGAGGAGGAGGAGGAGGAGGAGGAGGAGTTCTTGTTTTTCCTCAAGTCAGTTTGAGGCTCTGATTGCGATTTCCCTTCCCCTTTCTCTCAGTTCTCTCAAGCCCAACCCTGCGATAATCATGGCTGATGTAAACGGAACAGAAATCCTTTTGTAGTAATGATGACAAGGATCATGGCATGTGTAAGTGTGGAAATGTTGGTGTACAGACCATCAGTTGTTGTGACAAGGAATCATGACAGGGGCAGTAGATGTAGGGATAAGCTGGTCGGTATCTGGCTTTATGCAGGACTTATCACAAAACATGATGAGCAGGGTTGGGAGCAAGGTTAGGCGCAGGTTTGGGAGATGTCAGAGTGAGGCGAGGGAGGGGGAAGGGGAGCAGGGTTCGGAGCAGGGAGGGCATGAACAAAGATTCCCTTTGCCAGGGTCTAGTCCAAATCTAGTGACAGATGTCTGTGTGGATTTTTGTGGTACTTGCTCGGTTCAAGACTGTGTTTTACAAGCTGTTGTCAAATTTAGAAAGGCATCCTCACTTTTGCTGCCTTTCTGGAAGTTTTTGCTAACATGCAACCCACTTTTCCCTTTTGATTGTGGTGGTCCCGTGCTTTGCTTACTTCGTCCTCTTCGTTCTCCTCTTTTTGTTCTCTTATGTTCCCTGTTTCCTCCTGTTGTCTATTGAACCTGTTGTCTATTGAACTCTATTGTCTTTTATTTTCATTGCTTCCTCTGTTCTCCTCTCCTTTGTCTGTCTGTCTGTCTGTATGTCCATCCGTTACTGCGTCCCTCTGTTCGTCCCTTTATTCCTTTCTCTATGTGTCCCTTTTGCCCGTCCTCCTGCGCTCCCTCTTCACATTCTCGCTCCCATGCTTGCTCCCATGCCCACTCCCTTCCTCTCTTCTGCTCTCTCCATGCATGTCCCTATGGCTGTCAATTTCTCCCCTCGTTCATCGTCTCCCTCCTTCCTTCCCTCCCTCCCTCCCTCCTCCCTC